GGGGGAAGCCCAAAATCAGAAACGGAGGGAGGAAAAAAAAAAAAAAAAAAAAAAAAAAAAAAAAAGGGAAGAGAGCTTCCCGTGCACCCATACCCGCGCCACCACGAGACCATCTTCCAAGGCCGATTCCGGCCAACTCCGGTGGAGTTTTTCGATGCCACCACCACCATCTTGAAGCTCTCATTCCCCTCTACAAAACCCACCCAAGAACCACCTTGATTAACCATGGTATGGAGCGGTTTGAGGCCACGAAAGTTGACGAAAATCAATGGTGCTCCGGCCACCCTTTTCGATTTTCCGGCAAATCGGCAAAGCGATGGCCGATGCCACCACTTGGGCTTTGTAGCCCATCATCCCAGGAGCAAAACCCAACCAACCTTGACCCCGTTGGACCACCGTGGACGACGAATCGACGTCGGGAAGTTTTAGGCACCCGCCGGCTTCGTGGGCAAAATTGATCATCTTCCATCCACTTTTGGACTTCGTGGCAGGTATGAAAGTTGCTCCACTCACTGAGATCTTCATTTCTGTGAAGTTTGAGAATTTTTGGAAATAGTTGGATTTTCCGGCGAGTCGGGGCGGCCGACCGCCACCCGCGGCGGCGCGTGGCCAGTGGGCCGCCAATGCTATTTTTAGGCTATGTCAAATGTCTTGATTTCAGTTTTGTCATTTGAATGACGTAGGTTGATAGTTGGAACCTAAATTCGTTACGATACGTTACTTGATAAAAATGTGAATCGATGATCCGACCGTTGGATCGTCACCAAAATGGGATATATTGTAATACGTAATATTTAAAGATCATAGGAATTTACGGATCAGGAATCCGACTTACGGATCTTCCTGAATTGGATTTGTAAGTTAGTAAAATAAATGTTCATGGCCACTTGTTTTAGGCAATTGGCGGAGATCTGACCGTTGGATCGTAATGAAATTTTAGTATGTTATTCTAGAAACATATTGTGGATCGTTGGGAGTTATGGATTGGAAATCTGATATGCGGATCTTCCGGGTCAAGTTATACAGGGTTGTAAATCCTACCGTCGATCTTTGATCGACGGTTGACTTGTGGTCAATGGGTATCAAACTATTTTAGAATGTCGTTGAGGTTGTGTTTTATGTGAATTACGTACTCTTCGGATAAGAGTTCTGAGATGTGATTTGATAATTGGTCACAGGGACCAATCATTCAGGACACCTCGATGTGTGTGCTAGAGAATCATAGCGTGGACTCCAGGTAAGTGGATCTTTTCCTTTTTATCGTACATATTATTGACAGTTCTATCGACACTTTTAAATTGATTAGGTACATTACTTTCATATATAATTATTGTGAATGCTTGAAGTACCTATATGAACTACGAATGACTTGATCCCTTTTTAGGGTACGTAGGCAGTCTAACGAGACGTTAGATGCATCCATAAAATATTTGAGACAAAAGCCTTGCTTGGGAAATTGAGTAAGGCGAAGGAAATTGGTAAAGGCAAGTTTTAGTTTTATGAATTAGTTAGCTAAATTAATGTTAATTGGGTCGTCATGGATAATTATCCCTGAAATTAAGTAGTTTGGGAGTAATGCGTTATTGATTGTACACTTCTCACTGTATTGTTTATAATTGAACATGCTACGACATGGTTGAGTATTAGATTGCATCATAGTATATCAATATGTATATTACTTGCATATAATTATTGGAAATGCTTTCAAGTGCAAAGGTGAACTCAGGACACCCAGGTAAGTTCAGGTGAATTTATGGTACTAGTTGAATCGATTGCGTTATAGCATGACTACAGTTATGTATTAGGCAACTTCGATACTGTCGTACTGGTTGCCATGAGTTGCACATGTTATATTGAGATGCATTGAGAGCTCATAAACCTGCACCCCGGTGTTAGTGCTCCCGCCCGTGGCCAGGGCACAGTCCTTCACGTGATGTTCACCTCCCGCACCTTATGCTCACCTTGGATTCAAGGTAGGTGCACAGGCCTGTCGTACAGACCACTTTAGGTGGTTCCGACTCGTAGGTGACCTGCGATTATTCGCCCAGTCTTCACGTGATCGTAGCACTTGAGCGTATTTATTTACACCCAGTCCTGTCGTACAGACCACTTTAGGTGGTTCCGACTCGTGTGCAGGTATACTTATTGAGCTATACGCTAGCCAGGATTGATGAGATATGGATAAGTCGTACAGGTCACTAAAGGTGACTCCGACTTATATGCTAGCCAGGATTGATGAGATATGGATAAGTCGTACAGGTCACTAAAGGTGACTCCGACTTATATGCTAGCCAGGATTGATGAGATATGGATAAGTCGTACAGGTCACTAGAGGTGACTCCGACTTATATGCTAGCCAGGATTGATGAGATATGGATAAGTCGTACAGGTCACTAGAGGTGACTCCGACTTATACGCTAGCCAGGATTGATGAGATATGGATAAGTCGTACAGGTCACTAGAGGTGACTCCGACTTATACGCTAGCCAGGATTGATGAGATATGGATAAGTCGTACAGGTCACTAGAGGTGACTCCGACTTATACGCTAGCCAGGATTGATGAGATATGGATAAGTCGTACAGGTCACTATAGGTGACTCCGACTTATATGCTAGCCATGATTGATGAGATACGAATAAGTTGTACATGTCATTTTAGATGACTCTGATTGATATATTACTTTGTATTGATTTAGTTCATTTGGCCTACTTATTAATGTATGGTGGAGTTAATGGCAAACCGTGGTTTTGGTCATTTCTGAGTATGGTTTGGATATATGTATATATGTTGTACTGTCTTATGGAAAACGATACAAGTTTTACATTTAGGGGCATTACTTTTTGAGAGGTAATAACTTTGGTAAGCTTGGTTTTATTGTTTACTCACACCTTCTGTTTGGTGCCCTTCAGGTTTTAGCTGCTGAGTTTGTATCGACAAGAATCTGTGGCGAATCTTAGTATTGATGGATTTTTTTATAGGGTATGATTCTTACCCATACTACTGTACCTTACTTATGCTCTGACATCGCGTGTGAAATGGGTTCGCTCTCACTCGTAGCGCACTCTGGTACTTAGACACCTTTAGATTCAAATTTATTCACTTTTTGTACACTATCACATTTTTTTTGGCTTCGTCACCTTCCAGGTGTCGGCCAGCACAGCTCGATTCAGGGTCCAAGTGGACTTTCTGGGTCGGGGTGTGTCACTTAAAGCTTGGAATAAGACGAAAGTTATTAAAAAAAAATCGTAATAAAATAAAGTTAATTAAAATGAAATCGGATTAGGGATTTTTTACTAAATATAAATACAAGATTCCAGTGCGGGTTAAAGCGCGGATGAGTTAGATCTGCTGTGCCCGTATTCCCTCTATCCATCCTCCTCCCGCATCCTCCTCCTGACAAGTGTCCTATGGACTAACACTAAATTAACTCTGTTAACTTGGAACTCAATAAAAGAATAAAAAGAAAAAAAAATAGAAAAAACCATCCCTTCTTCTCTAAGAGCAGTTACAGCGTGAGAACCCTCCCCCCATGCAATACACTATGCTATTCATCTGATGAACAGTAAATGCCCTTAATGAACAGTAATCGCCTTTTGCATCTTCATCGTTGCACTTCAATAGCCCTAACAATAGGTAATAAAATATTAGTATTTTTTTAATTTATAAAATAATACAAAATGATTGTGATGGCTTTAATGTGCAAGTTGCATTAAACATATATTTAATTGGGTTTTAAAACCCACACTTGTGGCATCTACAAAATAATTGTGATGGCTTTAATGTGCAAGTTGCATTAAACATATATTTAATTGGGTTTTAAAACCCATACTTGTGACATCAATTCCATCACATTATAACTCCCCATCACTCTTTCCTTCTCCCCTCACATTATAACTCCCCATGACTCTTTCCTTCTTCCCTCACTCAGTCGGCTCTCTCTCTCTCTCTCTCTTTTACACACACACACCACATCCCATCACTCTCCCTTTCTCTCTCTACCCATTAAACTCTTTCTCTCTCTCTCTCTCTCTCTCAACTTTCTCTCCCATAACTCTCCTCACTATCTTCCCCTCGGTGCAAGCCAAATAACCACCACACCATCTCCAAACGCCGCCAAAACTCCCCAAAATTCACTCAAAAATTTCTAAGGGTCTATGCAACTCACTCTTAACCCTTGACAGTGGGAAAACCCAATGGAAAATGAAAACTCAGTTGTGTAGCTCGACGAACGTTGGGGAAACTTTCACTCCTTCAACCACGTTAAGCCTAGGTTTCTCACTCTCAAACCTTCCCTCGAGTTTTTGGTAATATTCTTAGCATGCATGCACTTTTCAATGCATTTGAAGGACAAATTTCCTTGCTCTGTTTTCCCATCAAAGTTTGTAGGATTCCCAAGCCAAACCCAGCCAAACCCCGTTGGTTTGGTTGAGTTGAAGGCATATGACGATTTCACACGACCCCTAGACCACGGGTTTGAGCTTGCATGCTTGAATCCACTTTGAAATCGACGAAAACAAAGAACTCCAACTCAGGCTGTCACTTTCAGGCTTTTTTAGACGAGCTCTGGCCATCTTTTGGTCTTAAAAAATATAAAATTGGGCTAACGCCAAGATGACGTCAACCCTGGTGTTATATCCACTCAGGCTCTCGGGCTGGCAATTCCTCACAGACCCGGAGCTCAGGCCTCCACTCTCCCTCGGGCTGCCCACGCTGGAGCTTCAAGGTCAGGCTATCTGGCCCTATTTCGTCCCCCGTCCCCCGAGCACCAGCCCACGCTAGAGTTGCTCTCAGAGAGAGAGGGAGGTATATTTTTTTTTTTTTTGTTTTTTATTCTATGTCAAGTTTAACTCTGTAACTTGGTGTTAGTTCATAGGACACTTGTCAGAAGGAGGAGGCGAGAAGAAGAAACTTGGGCACAGCCGATCTGAACTCAGCGCGGATCGAGTTGTTTGTTGCTGACCTTGCTTATACGGTTTTACCCTCATCAAATTACAAATATAAAACGCTCTTCCCTTTCGGTTTGCGGTGAAACTTCGCATCCTTCTTCCGCTCTCTCCTCTCTTTCTCTGCTCCTTTACGCGTTCTTCCTCCCAAACCCTAACCATCTTGCGTACGATCGTATCCAACCACGGTTTCAGATCTCCATCGCTACCGATTGGCCAATCGCGCTTATATTTCCCGATTGCGATTCTTCTCAACGTCGTCGTTTTTCAGCTGTAAGGTTTTCATCGTTTCAGTCTCCCAATTTCTGGGCAATCAGATATCCATAGTTGGTTAATTCTTCAGTTTTGGATTCAAATTAGTTTACTTTTTCCAATGATCTGCTATTATTTATCTTTATTTGTATTGAATTTGTTTAATTTTAAGTGGAGCCGTAGGAGGATCTGAAATTTATAGGTTATTATTTATGGTTATACATATTTATGGATCCATAGATAATTTTGGAAGTAGGAGAATTGGGAATTCTGTTTGCTGGATAATAGAAATTGGGTCGGGGATTAATTGAGGAATCAAAATTGAAAATTGGTTGAATTTGGAAGCAGGTTGGTTTTAGTGACAATTAGAGGTTTTTATGCTATTGAGTTGTTGATTAGATGAGGTTGAGTTTATATATAGACTTTGATCGAGTTGAATTATTGTAATTGCATCACTATACCCTAATTTTTCTTGTGATTTTGTTATAGAAATCTTTCACCAGTGTATATCATAGTCTCCTATGCCTTGTTTGGTTTTTGTTATATTTAGTTTTGGAGTTTCTCAGCACTTTTTCTCTGTTGGTTGTTCCGTTTCTTATTTGTTGTTTTTAACTAGGCAGGAATAATGGCTTTTATACGTAACTATCGCTCACAAGGGGGCACCGCTGGTGATGAGTGTTGGCCGTCTCTCGGTAGAAATGACGTCAAAAGCTTCAACAACTTCAACCACAACAACAACTGGAACAAGAGCAGGACTAATAACTTCGTTAAGAATTATAACAATTATCAGAAGTACAATTATAACAATTTCCAGAAGTACGTGGGTGGTTATAAGGAGCATGCGGATAATTCTAATTATATCAAGCCTGACAGTGCACCATCGTTTAAGAGGAGAAAATTTTCAGATTCTACTTGGGGTGATGGTGGGAGACATTATCTGCCACCCAACACATATGAGTTTATCTCTTCTTCTTGCAATAATTATGTCCCTCGTCAAAGATCCAATGGTGATGCCTCTGCATCTACCACTGGTAAACGTGACCGCTCAAAGTTAGATGAGGATGAACTTCCCTTTATGTCAAGGGATGAGATAGAGAGATGCTCCCCATCTAGAAAAGATGGTATAGATTCAGTACGTGAAGCACACTTGCGCTACTCATACTGTTCTTACCTTCAGAATCTTGGATTGCGGCTTGACTTGTAAGCTTCTTCTACTTAACGTGTATCTTTGTTATGCTTTCATTTTGAATAGAGTTCTTATCATTTATTTAACAGGGTTTTGTCCAGAACTAGTGTTTATGGTATTTTGAACATTTTGCTCGTTGACTTTAAGTTTCAAGGTTTTCTTTTCTCTTTCCAAGACATGTGTAATTTAAAACCTAATCATATATCTCTTACAGGCCCCAGACTACTATCGCTACTGCAATGGTTCTCTGTCATCGGTTTTTCGCCCGGCAGTCACATGCTTGCCATGATAGATTTGTGAGTATTCAATGTATTTTGAAATTCATAGCATCTTCTGATGTTATTAAGGTTTCCTTTATCTTAGATAGCCATAAATTTTATGTCCTCATATGATCAACATTATAGCAATTATTTTTCTGAATATAACTCTATGTTTCTGTTCGCCACTCTGTGCCGTTTTTTAATTTCGTACTGGGTAATGGATTATGTACGTTGTTGGTTTACTCTGTCACTCCATTTGGTAATTATATTTTATTACTGTTTCGTTTCTTTTCCAGTTGATTGCTACTGCGACTCTGTTCCTAGCAGCAAAGTCCGAGGAGACACCACGCCCTTTGAATACTGTGTTGAGAACATCTTCTGAGATTCTCCATAAGCAGGATATCAGTTTCTTGTCCTATATGCTCCCTATTGTGAGTGTCTTTACTGTTCTTCTGAGCCTTTATGATATGATCTGTCCTCTTTAAAACATTCAGAATGAAGACAATCTTTTTACAGTTTAACTGTCAATATAAAAACCCATTATTGAATGCCATAATGTTTTTCTTTGCATTGACATAAAAAAAACCAATGCATTGCCTTTCTTTTTAAATTCAGATGAGTATTCCCGCATTGAATCATATTTCCTATTCATGCTGTTCAGTGTGTCATATAGAGCATGAAGCAATTTTAACTTTTGAAGATTTTTCTCCATTCCCCGACCTATATTTGAAAGCTCAGATTAGAATTGCACTTTCTAACATTCTGACATTTGTTGTCTGTTAAACAGGACTGGTTTGAGCAGCATCGGGAACGGGTGACGGAGGCTGAGCAAATGATACTGACCACTCTAAATTTTGAACTTGGTGTGCAGCATCCGTATGCACCACTTACATCTACTCTTAACAAATTAGGTCTTTCACAAACAATTCTGGTGAATCTGTCCTTAAGCTTGGTCAGTGAAGGGTAAGTTCATCAATTCGAGGTTACAGAATTCTGCTTACAGTTTGTTGAATGACTCTACTTGATCATTCTTTGACATGTTTGTGTTGATTTTTTATATTTGCTTACCTTGCATGCCTCCCTGAAAATTGTTAGTAGTAAGATTTTCACTGTGGTGGTTGAAAGGAAGAAGATAGAGAAAAAAAGGGGGGGGGGGGTGTTTATCAGCAGAGTTTCAGATTTTATTGATGTTTGGGTATGGCTATGGAAGAGAATAAACACTGGTTTTCTTCCTGTTCCTTAAAACTCTGATGCTTGATGTCTGTCTCAATAATTTCCCTGTTTAGAGCATCTACTTTAGTAGTATTTTGAAATATTAATTCTTTTGGCATGCATATAATTGCAGGATCTACACAAGAGTAGAGTTGATCGCCTGTATGATATTCTTAGCTGGCGGATTGATTTGCTGTTCATGGAACTTTTGTTTTACTTCTGAAGTTGAACTGCCGATATTTTTTGGATGAATTTACCATAATATGCCCCCACCAACTTAGTCATTGGCTATTGAATATAGCCACTTAGCCTCCATGGCCATTTTCACTATCTTCTTTTAACTTACTGATGGAGTTTATTAAGAAAAAGTCCTCTGTGAAGTCCTGCTACCAAACATACAGTTTGTAAGACATGGCTTTTGTGGGCTTGGTTTTGGAGGAAAACCATTGTCTAGGGGAGGATTTCATCTTTGTGATTGGTAGCCCTTCCTGTCCCCAATGCCAATGCTGTTTTATGAACCCTCGAATGGCTTCTCCTAATTCCTCTAACAACGAGGGGTTGACCAGATATCTAGGGGCTGCTTTAGGTTTAACAGTATGATACTCAGTTTTGAGTATCAGGGCTTTCAGTCTGAGTTCAGTTTTGACCGAACTCTTTCTGATGGAAGTTTACACCTTGGCCCAAGAATTTGCAAATTGTCGTAGAACTGTTGCCACTGGTGCATGAGTCTCAGGAGCTTGTGTAGGTTTTTTCCTGACCTAGATGTCTTTAAAGTTTTCGGTGTTGTATTCTTTTTCCATTATAGAATGGAATGGGAGACATTAACATTTTGTATAGTACCTGCCATTCATCTTCCCCGTCTCCCAAAGGAAAGAAAAAAGAGATATTTTTAATGCAACACTGTGAAATGAACTTGAGAGAAATTGGCAAAATGTGCTGACAGTTTTCCCCATTAATCGGCTTTGAGATGGTACTTATTTTCCAAGATGGGGGAATAGGAGGCCAGGAATATAACAAAATTTTGAAAGTCATCTGAATTCCCATATCTTTTTACATGATTTTCATATCATATCTATTTGGTTCATATGTTTCTCAGGTAATGATCTGTCCAGATCTAGAACCTGCCCAAATATTTATGTCAAAAGGTTGACTGTGAACTATTTGGTTCCATATACATGGTATCAGATATGTCAATTTCCTAGCCCTAACTCCCGTGTAAGTGGTTTTTTACAGTTTTAAATAAATTTGAGACCACTTCACAGATGGGGTGCATTATTTTTGCTTTGAAAATGTTATCATTTCTTCTTGAGTTTTCTCATATTTAAACTTTATCTTAACATTTGTTCAAGTGATGGATGTTGTTATAGTATGTGTTCTGAAACGGAAAAAAAGTTTTCTTGAAACACTATGTCCTCCTGTTAGACAAATTATTGTTTTACCCAGAAGTACAGAGTGGAATACATATACGTATGTACATTTTTTAAAGTTCTACATTCTTTTGTTGAAGATTACTTTTGAAAATGATTTACGTGTTCTCATTAGTGGCATATATCGTCAGAAAAAAAATGAAAAGAAACATTTTTTAAAGTTCTACATTCTTTTGTCGCTTTTGAAAATGATTACGTGTTCTCATTAGTGGCATATATCGTCAGAAAAAATTGAAAAGAAAAATCATTTATTTGTGAAGATATAGGCATATACTTTTTGTGTCCTTGGTTGCATCCAGGGAGTTGATGGCATCCATCCTTGTAGTTTCCAGAAGAATTGATGGTATCCATCCTGGTAGTTGCCTGAAAATTCCTACCATTTTAGAATCTGGGTTGTTCTAGGGGGCATTCGCCATTTTTCGATTTCCAAGAAGTTCTCATCAAGTCTTACTTCAGTGAGTGCTCTTTGTATGTTTATAGAGGAGTTGATGATATAAGAAAAGGATACATACACACACACACACACACACACTATCTGGAACAGACTATAGATGGTAATTCAGCTTCATCCCATGCCTGCAACATGGGTGTAGTGGATGATTCTCGTCGGGAACTTAGTAGTTGGGTATTGTGCATGCTCAATAAGCATTAATGCATGTAAGATCCAGCCATTGTGCAGAAGATTGTGGATTTGTTTTCAGGAGTTTAATTGTTTGCAATGTCCTGCTTTTGCTTTCTCATATGAACCGTGTATACGAGTAAAATAGCCGTGCAGCAGATTGGGGCCTGGGAGTTTTGGTGTCCCTAGATGGGGTATATCATGTTTGCTATAGTTTTGGTACTCTTATCAGCCATCCTGCAGACATTCTGGAAAATATTCTACCTGACTTGCTGCTTTTGTAGTTGGTAAGAAATTGACTTGTTATTTCATGCCTGATTTGATGACGTTTTGCTACTAATTTTTTTATGCTACATGCTGCTGGTATACGTTCTATCAATGTGAAAAATATGCTAAGTTGCACGGGAAATTGCCTGGTCTTTCTACCCTTGCCCCAGATGGTTTGGTTTGATTATGTGCCTTGCTACCTCTCCTAGCCCATGGTGGTGGCTCTGTTGGTGTTTTGTCTCCTAACTCGCTGGAACTGATTTGGTTTCTCATTTTATTTTTCAGGCTTCGGAGTTCTCTGTGGCTGCAGTTCAAACCGCATCATATTGCGGCAGGAGCTGCCTACCTTGCCGCAAAGTTTCTGAATTTGGATCTTGATTCTTATAAAAATATATGGCAGGAATTCCAAGCTACACCGGATATTCTTCAAGGTATGCATACATGCTCACAGCCGAGGCCTAGCGAGCCGCTTTTTCATTTGCATATAGATTTTAATTTGTGTTAATTGTTGATGCAGCTGTTGCTCAGCAGTTGACGGAACTCTTCTAGAAGGATGGCGCATGGTTGTTACACTAGTTTGTGTATAAAATTAGGATATGCATATCATGGTCGGACGGGAAAGCATATACACGACTTTTGCAGGGGTATGGTGTGAGGAGACGACGAGAGACGCCAAGATATGATACCTATGTTTTCTCACAACTGCTTTCCTCTTGAACCTCTTGAAGGCTTAAAAAGTATAGTTTTTAAGGTTTTGTAACATCTACCATTAGTACGCTTTTCGGAGTGGTAACCTACATATAATGACAAAATCGCTACAAAGTTTTTTATTTCTTGTGCTTCATGTTGGTATTATATCATTGTCAATTGTCGAACAAGGTCTTAGACAACGTATTGATATCTGGGTGGTAGAAACATCAAAGTAGTGGGAATGCTATAGACAGTGCTACATTTGGCACTGTTTTTATTTACCTGAAGTTAAAGTGAAACTTGATTATTTTTTCACATTGGCTATTCTATTAGCTAACGCTGAAGCGTGATAAGAACGACTCTGAACTTGGGTACGGACTCCAAATCCGTTATCCTCTCGTACTGGAGAGATACTCTCTCGTTACGAATTCATCACGTGGCAAATGTCTGTTATGAGAGGCTGCTGGATGCGGCAGAGCCATTTTACCAACTACATGTGGTGGAAACGTGAACGTTGTAGGTTAGACGAGGGTAGGATGGTGCTTTCAAGCACTCTCCGTATTCAGGAGTTGGGAGATTATGTTTTTTGTCGTTGGAGGAGATTATGTTATTGGAAGCCTAATCTTTTCTAATCTTGCATTGAAATTAACATTAATTTTGAAGTGGCAGAGAATCTATAAAGAGTTCTACCTTGAGACAATCCCATTAGCATTTCTCTAGCTCTTTATTCTTGAATGCTCATTCTTTTTTTCAACAATTTTTATCGAAAAATTCTACCCTAGATGCTCTTACCAAACCGACCAAAGTAGTCATAACTCATTTTGCAATTGGATGTGTCGAAAATTTTATTATGCTCCAACGTATGACATGCACTGAATAAAGAAAACATTAAATGTGCAACGAAGAATCCAACAATACTATACACTGATGCATACTAGAAAGCTGTCAAAGGTATATCACTTTGTATAGGTCTTCAAAAGAAATGCTACAAAAGAATTCATATAGTATGGTTGAAGCATTCAACAACGTTGAAAACAAAGAATTAGGATTCTCCCAGGATCATCAAATCGTGTCCGTTCATCGTACATCATGCGATCAGAAATCATTTTAAATAGGGAACTTTAACGAAAACCTCTTGGTACTGTTTACTTTAACGAAAAACCACATTTTTACACTAAAAAGTCAATCCTGGGACTATTCACTTTACCCTTTATTTTGTCTTTATCGTTAAAACTCAAAGTTTTGAAGCCATTTTCATTAGTTTTCCATTTTAAATACTTTTATTTAAAATTAAATATGAATATTACTTGACAAAAACTGATCACACAATATACAATAAACGAACACGATTTGAGATCTTAAGATCCTTCTAAAGAGGGTTGAAAGAGTGTCCTCATTCGGAAACAAATATGCACTTTAGTTAAATTAATATTCAAGGAGGAACCCATCTTTAGACTTACTCTAGTCTCCAAATTTGAAGTCCAAATATTTGACCTCTACCAGGAAGCCATCCGCCAACGTAGAAAGGCAATAAAAACCAGGACAGTCGACGGCCGGCACAAAAAAAGCCATTAGAAATCAATATTTGAATAAAATTCAACGTATTTATTATTCATCGTTCTCTTTGCATTATCTGATTTCTGTCCGTGTCCATGTCATTGTCACCTACCTCTTTCTGATCGCGATCGTTGGGACGCGTGCCCTTTATAACATTCAATCCCGGATCACCTTCCCGAGAAACAAACAGAAAGTTAAGAGCTCACGAAACCCTGACCTCAGTGGATAATATCACATCGAACAACAAAAACATTACCGACTCACGACACCAAATCACCAATCGCGCTTCTTCTCCTCCTCTCTGCTGTTTGGAAACCAAGACCAACGTCCCAACGCTCCTTCCGATGGATTCAGCGCCAGCCCAGCGTCGCCTTAGAGCAATCAATGGCCACCTCGCCTCCGCCTCCGCCGCCGACTCCGAGTCCCTTCTCCGTCTCAACCCCACCACCGGCGAGTTTTTTTCGGGTGCTCCCTCTGTCTCTCTCTGTTGATTTTTTCCAGCTTAATTTTGGTTTTGGTTTTGGTTTTGAATTTTGATCGGATAGTATGCACGCGAAGCTCAAAGCTTTTTTGTGAAGGAAGTTATTTCAAAGGAGAAAAAGCTAGGGCTTATTTAAGGTGGCATTAATGCCCCTAGGTTTTGTGGTGTCTTTATTGTGAGATACTTTTGAGCTTCCGAGGGCTCGATACATTTATGATTCATTGCTTTTTTTTTTCGATTTTTTTATCTTCCGTTTTGACTTCGGTTGAGGATCATTCGATTTTGAATTGTTTTCCATTTGTGGGTGCTGCTTCATTTGATTTCATACGCTGCTTTTTCTGATGTGGAAAGCACTTCCGATTCATTTGATTTCATACGCTGCTTTTTCTGATGTGGGACAGATAATGTTGCGTTTCGATTTCTAAGAGATTTGGATTTGACTTACTTTTTTGTTTTTGTTTTGATAAAGGGCTTTCTTTGATGGACACTTATGTTTTTCTTTTTTGCGGAATTTGTTCCTGATGGCGTTTTGGGTTGTTTTCCGTTGGCAAATAAAATCAGATCTTTTGTGGGGATTTTGGTCAATGGGGACAAGAGACCATTTTGAGTGGGCTTTTGATTCGGGGGAGGTATGGCAAAGCTTTATGGGAACTATGGATATGTAGCGGGGTATAAAAACCAATGAATCAATTAATATCTTTGATGGAAAGACCGTTGTATGACAATTAGGAAAATATACTTGGGAGTTCATCGTTTTGTCCTTCCTTTGGTCTGAATTCTGTGAAACTTTATTTTCTATCTCCCGCGTCCAAGCACATATAAGCATTTGACAATTTTCTTTGCTCCTCTCTCTCTAATGGGAAAAATGGACTGATCTAGCTGATGAAGAGTACTTGAAGTTTTTGGATATAAATTTATATAAAAACTCGGATCAGTAAAATGAACTGGACTACGATGACAAAGAAGGTGGATTATATGAAAAAAGAACTATAGTATTTACAGGGCTAATCCTTTCAGCAATTGGTTTCATTGTTTTCTCTTCAATTGATTAAAATATTGTCTGCTTTTTGTCTGTCGTAGGTTTGGTTTTATATCTCTCTTTTCCTTCGTTTGGTTCTCTTGTTTAGTTTCTTTTGCATTATGTGTTTCATAATGAAAACTTTGGCCATTTACATTCACATGTTGTATGGGATATGTCACTGCGTGAATCCTGCTTTGTGGGATATTGTGAAAGTGATAGTGGATGAGTCTGTTGCTCAAAAGATAAACTTCTGGGGGAATCGAGGGCTTTCAAGTGGGATATGAAATGGAAGTCAGATTCTTTGAAAGGTTTGGTTTCTTTGTTTTGCGGTGGACAGGGGACTATAGAATAAGCGGGAACAGCTTGGTAAAGGTGGTTAGCAACCTGTTCTAGATATGCGTCTAGGATGTTTAACTTATTGACTCAAATACATATATTAATATCATTAAATTCGTGACAGAGCATGGGTACAGTGTGGTGCTTCCAGAGAAATTAGACACAGGAAAGTGGAATGTATACAGGTGGGCATATTCCCTTTTTTTCATTTGTGCTGCCCCAACAAGGTCCATGGCTATTCTCTCTATTCATGTGAGGAAAATATTTTTGTTTTGTTGTGGTGACAGATCTGCACACTCCCCATTGAAGCTTGTTAGTAGATTCCCTGATCATCCTGAAATTGGTACACTGCATGATAATTTTGTGTGAGTCACTTACTTTTTGCCAAACTACACAAGGACATTTAAGCTCAACAATTCCTTACAAAACTGTCCTAAATTTATATTTCTATCCACTTGTATTTAGTTCCCTTGGAATTTGCTAAAAGACTTTATCTAACTTTTGTCAATATTAGGCATTCTGTTGAAACTTTCCGAGATTATAAATATTTGGGCACACGAATTCGCGTTGATGGAACAGTTGGAGAGTGAGTGTCTTATTATGTAATTTAAAATTCTCAGTTCCTGTGAATAACAATTATTTGGCTCACATCCAGTGGAAACCTCACCCGGTTTCATTTGTTTTTCTGCCTTCAAGTTACAAATGGATGACGTACGGAGAAGCAGGTACTGCTCGGTCAGGAATAGGTTCTGGCCTAATTTATCATGGAATACCAAAGGTGTAATTTCACTAATTGTTCTATGGTTCCTATACTTTCGTTTATTGGTCATTGAACTTCATCTCTGTAATTAGTTCCTTGAAAATACTGAGTGGATTTCCCTGATGTTACTTGACATCAAATCCTCTTTGAACTTTTATTTCTATAACTACAGGGATCTTCCATTGGATTGTATTTTATCAATAGACCTGAGTGGCTCATCGTTGATCATGCCTGCTCTGCGTATTCGTACATATCAGTTCCTTTATATGACACTCTCGGTTTGTGCTACTTTTCCCGTATTTTGCCAATCTTGGTCTAGGTGTCAGATGTTATAATTGAATATGGTATTCTTTGCAGGTCCAGATGCTGTCAAGTACATTGTAAATCATGCTGTTGTACAAGTTATCTTTTGTGTGCCTCAAACATTGAATAGTGTGAGTTTAACTTATATCACTTCAGGGTGCTCTATAACTTAACAATATTCTCTTGAGTTGTAAAAACTTAATCTTGTAAATTTCTTTCTTCCTCGGTTTTATATACGTTAGGTATTAAATGACAACTAAAAATTTGTTTTATATTCTTGGAGATGCGCATATGATCAGCTATAACCCATACATATTTATATATGTTAGGTATTAAATGACAACTAAAAATTTGTTTTATATTCTTGGAGATGCGCATATGATCAGCTATAACCCATACATATTTATATATGTTAGGTATTAAATGACAACTAAAATTTTGTTTTATATTCTTGGAGATGCGCATATGATCAGCTATAACCCATACATATTTGGGTAAATGCTATTCGCAAAATGTTTTGAGCTAGTGTTCATCAGGTTGAATTGTTGTATGGAATATAGACCAGATGCTAATTTAGATATCAAATTATTAAAATAAAGACGAAGAAAACGTGGTCTACATGCAGAAAAAACTCAACATAAAAAATAAAAAAGTGAAGATCCTTTAACAGTAACCATCCACC